AACTACTTACATTAGCACGACTTGATCTTCAGGAAGATTCATGTATGTATCCCAGAGGAATTGCATGAGGGGCTCGTTAGCGGTGATAAGATTTGACATGGTCTGAGAGAGAACACGGGCCACCACAAGGTCTGAAAAAGATGATATCAGAGCCAGTCAAGATTTTGGCCGGCAAACAGACCATCTTGATCCTCCATCGCAGTCCAAGATGTATAATAGTGAAGTAGCCGTCTGATGTCGTGCTCATTTTCGCTGTTGGTTGGGAACATCAGCAAATTAAGCAGCTCGAAATCAGCCATTCAAACTCACAAAGCATGTGTCTGGTTTTCACTGACCTCAGCGACGAGGTTCCTGGTCAACCGAGCTAGACTTAGACAAAATTTTCTCAAATTTTGATGTTTCAGAGTTTCGGTGGAGGCCTGGTCGTCGTCATCACCATCCCAAAAAGTCAACTGAGCACGAACAAGGTCCCGCCATAGTTTATGGAAACAGGACCAGAACGCGGGCTTGTCGGTGCCTACATGAATCCTAGGAAAGCACATGTACATTCAATTCTACCCTGCGAGTAAATTTGGAAGAAGACAAGTACCTGAGATCGCGACTTTTGGCCAAATCGACGGCAATGTTGTCCAGAACGGCAGAAACAGAATCTACAGCTTCGGATGCATTGATGTCAAAAGCAGAACATGCGTCTGTGAACTTGGAAATCAGCGCCTCTGCGTCCTGGGCAGCTTCGTCCGGCATGGGGAGCCTCTGCTGGGGGTTAGTGAACGTGGACGTCGAAGAGCAACTCGATCTGCCATTAGAATTTCTATTCAAGCGCTGCAGTGGACCCACTCAATCGGGATGATCGTTATGTTCTGTCATCGGCACGTTCCTCGAGCTTTCCTTTTTATTTAACATCATGGCATCGGACCTCAACATCTCTCTCGAGGATCACCTCCGTGATACCCTTGCCTCAGTGCAGAGCCTGCTGCCTCGCGAGCTCTCGGCACAGTTAGAGGTCTACTTTACCGAACCGAAGCCAGCTTTGATTCCATATACCGTGCTCCAATCTGTATCTCAATGGTCGCGGTCGCCGTCAGGATCCTCTGCTCTCCGTTCAACTACGCATCCTCGAGATCCCAATGATTTCAGTATGATCTCGCTCCTTGCTGGAACGACAACTTCGCCTGAACGCAAATTCGGCTCTTATGTGCCACCACGGGATCCAGAGGAAATAGAGGCGGAGAGGAAAAGGGAGAAAAGGGCCATAACGACCCTCATGAATGCGCTACTCAGTGTTGGTGGGTCAGGATTTGCAGCTTGGTGGGCATCGCAGCACGCAGGATGGAAGAAGGAATGGGTACGTTCAATAACCACACGCCTCCTGCTCCAGTTTCTTAGGCATTTCTTCTAGCGGGCCCTCTTTGGGCTATTCGTTGGCTTCGTTGTTGCCATTGCGGAAGCAGTGCTATATCTCATTTGGCAATCGCGACACTCGACATCAATGAATAAAACTCGACGACGACGCTTGGTATCTGCAAGGCATAAAAAGAACGATGGTGACGGCGATTCGTCAGTTGTAGAGACAGAGCACGGTGATAGCAGACTCCGACGACGGGGTAACCCAGACCAATCAAATATCAGCGAGTAATACATAATATACACTACTAACACATCTTCAGAGTTCTCATAAACATTGATAGATACCACCCAGTTAAACCCCATATTTCTAATTTATTGTCCTTCCCAATCCCTATTTCACTGTCATCATTAGTCCTTGACTTTGGTGGAGGCAGCGATATATCGCTATGGGTATCCGTTCCGTGTTCTATTTGTTGTGAAGTTTGTAAATCGGACACGTCTATTGCCCAGTAAGGGCGCTGTCCACGAAACATGGAAGGTCGAAGACGCGAAGGGGAAGTCATCGCAGACAATGGCAAATGGAAAACGTTGTCGACTTCTGCCTGGGATACTTGCTTCATGATGTCAGATATCGAAACCGAAGGCAGAGGTTCGTTGTCTGCCAACGACGAGACATCTTCTTGCTCAGGGTTGATAAATCCCTGTAACAGATATCAAAATTGGGGCTGATGAAAGAGAAAAGAGTAACGTACAACTAGAGGCCATACAGACATATCACCCCTCATATTGATCTCTGGGGGACCAATTTCTCCCAGGATTTCGACTTGCTTTGGGCCTACGCCCAGTTCTTCGTGCGTCTCCCGAAGAGCGGCTGCTCTGAAAGAGTCATCCTCCTAGGGGGTCACCGGTCAGGGGGGAGAAAACACGAAAAAGACTGATACCCACTTCATCCACCTTTCCTCCTGGAAAACTAAAGAGAGAGAGAAAGTTCAGTCACTGCTAAGCGATTGCCTAATGATTGACGCGCTCACCTGACTTCACCGGAGTGAGTCCTCATACGCTTTGCTCTGACCTCAAAGAGGATTCCGGGAACACCATCGAGGTTGCAAAGAGGGATTAGAACTGCAGCGTTCTTCTTCCCGGGTATATACTGGGGTCTCGCCGCGTCGACAGCTGGTGTTGGATCGAGCACTGCCTGAATCTTCTTCAAGGTCTCTTTCGTGAAAGGCTTGACCGTAGACAAGAATGAGGGAGTTCGAAGGGCATGGATTACGCTTGTAGACGCTACGGCCATATCGATAGCATAGCCAGGGGGGATAAAGAAGAAAAAAATCTAAAAAAACAAATGAGCGATGAGACACGGCATGATGTGAACTTTGTGACTCACTATTACTTGTACAGAAGAAAAGGTAGAGGGAAATCTAAGAGGATTCTAAAAATCTATAAGAGATTTAAGTACTGTAGAGCAGAATAGAAGCACCGGTGCTTTTGAAGTTGACTGCGGTGGTCTACGCCTCGACGGTCCGGAGCCCGAGTCGGTCGTTTAAGTGCGGAGTTTCAAATTGACGAACCAACACGCCGCTTCCTTTCATTGCTGTAAATTTCGCGCTCTCGTCCTGGCTAGAAAAAAAATCTGGACTCTCTTCAATTACGGACTACCGAGGATGTCCCCCCATTTTCTCCGACAGGCGGCTTTCAACTATTAAAACGTGTTGTTGCTACATGCTCTGGACATGCTCTCGTTCAGAAGCGTTTTGGGGGGTCTTATCTCTTATCAACGTAAACCGAAAGGTCTCATCCATATGTATCCATAACAATCAATGCACCTCAAAGTCTAGAGGCGGTGTTATCCCGACTGCGGAACTGTTGATGCCAAATGGCACATGGAATTCTACCGCCACGCTGCATGATAGCGACCATCCAAGGAAACAAAGACAGCGACAACGAACGTTCATCAGAAAAAAATACAACCTAGATAAGCTCAAGTCTGGATTTAAACGTGCCTGCTGTTGTATTTTTCACTCGCCGAATCTCCCACCTCTTCGCTTTAGCTCTTCGTGCTCGGGGGCTAAGCACTTTGCAACCCCACGGGGATAAAAAGAGAAGATAGTGTTGCTCAGTGTCCGGTTCTCGACATCCCTGGCCTTCATCTTGTACCGCCCAGGCTGTCCTAATACACACATACGAAGGCTCGATCCGGCAGGACCACGTATCAGGATGTCCTGAGCTTCGCAGACTGATTGCAGTTTGCTACAGTGGGAAGATATTTGCAAGGATGACTATTTCCCCGCCTTTTTGTGGGGCATATTCACGCTTTCTTTAGATTTGGTTTGAGTAGGCCGACCGTTCCTACCTGTTAACTTTGCTTGTCGTGCTCAGATCGTCTTTTTCTTTTTTGCAATGTTATCGGCACCCTCAATTTGAGCATTAACTGCGCAATTCAATCGCGACTTTCTACAAACCGTCCGACTTAAAGCCGCCTGTAGTTTCGTCAGAATCCCGAGACTCAACCATGGAAGCCTCCTGGATTCAAATTTCGCATTATCAGTTGGCTGCTATGAAGATGAGCACGGCTTGTGTACGCCGCCCATGTCGCCAAAGCTACATAGGTAGCTGTGATGTACAACTCTCCAGATAATCTTTGATTGTCTCTGGCATCACTGATACGGATACGCAAATGTTCGCAAATTCATGTCTTGGCTCGATCAAATACATATCAGGAAGCCCAGCCTTGATGGAGCCTTTTCCATTACGAGGACGGACAGACGTGGGTTTTCAGTGAGTCCGTGCTTCTCCGACTCGGGTAATGATGCAGATGTGCCCAAGAGAGAAGAATCAATTCAGTTCTGTGCTGTATCCTCACGGCTAGGCACGTCCATCTCTTGCTCTCTGTCATGAGTGTCTAAGGCTATAGCTTCCATTGTGCTCATCTCGGACCTCCTTGGTCATCGGAGAATCATGATATCATACTTCTGCCTTTCTGCTAGGCCCACACAGGCTACTTTCAGAGGTACGAGCCATTCGATGACTCTTCTTTCCCGTGACTCGGATGTATTCAAGTCGTCCTTCTAAGGCACCTGATGCTTTGGCCACGTCTAGTTCCAGATTCATTTCTAGGCGTTCGTTCATACCGTACGACTCTTGGTATTCCCCTCGACTGGATACAGAACTTGGAATACTCAACATAGACTGTTTGATTTAGTTTTTACTTGCCTAAACGCGATCATCGTCGATCAGGAGGAACGGTCGGCTGGTCTTCTACAAACAATATATTTGACCCGCCAAGGATAGAAGGACTAATTATATCACAGGCACCAAAATGAAATTGAAGACAAACACGACCGTCCGTAACCCCTGGACGACACTCGAAGCACTTATTGTTGGAGCCGGGTGCACTCTGGGCTGCTGGCTGGGCATGATGCCATTTGGATGGGAGATGTCAAGTATAACAGCTGGAGTTATGTTCTTCAGAGCTGGGATTCGAATTAGAATGGACCTGGTAATATGAGAATTGGAACTTACCGGCAACTTATCGGTTACTTGATTGATCGAGTTTATTCGATCACAAAGAACTTGTCTTTCCTCCTCGCTCTTTCCAGAATTCAGAACCCAGGAGGAGCAAAATAAAAAATCGTGTCCGCCCTTAAAAACACCGACCAACCCAGGACTCGAACATGGAATCTTCAGCTTACATAATCACCGGAAACTGACGCGTTAACCATTACGCTAGCCGGCCGACACTTAACAAGAGAAATTTAGAATATAGCTATTTACTGGTCAATGAAACTGAAATCGAGTATTTATCATGAGCTCTAATTGGGTGCGAATTATGATTATATTTGAATGCAAGTAATGCCATGCAACAATGAGATACAGTAAAAAAGGATGCTCAAAAGTGTGAGTCCAAGTCCATTTTCACAGTATTATGGTGACATGGGTATTTCAGGCCATTTTGAGTCACTGAAACAGTCCAGCCCATGTACATAGTTGGCAAGGTTATGCAATGACTGCCTTTTCCATTAACTGGTCATGGCATTTGTGTTAGAATTGGAATTGATCCATAGCCCCATAGCTACTACAAGTGGAAACATTGCCATATGTGCAGGAATTACTTAGCTATGTATTTCCTGGACTATATACAGGTTGGTTATTACTATAGGTACAATGGTTGTATTTAAGTAGCTATAAGCTGGCTAATGAAACCTCACCAGCTTCTAACCCCCATTCTCCCTGGTATACTTTGCACATCATATTTGGAGAAGAGACAGAACACATCACAAATTCTCACAATTTGCAAGCAACCTGACACTTTTTGTTTGATTTAACATGTCCAGGCATAGTACAAAAAATTGAGCAAGAAGAGAAATAAAATTCGGAGGCAACGGGGCAATAGTGTGCCCATTAAAGGCAATCGCTTGACAGAACAACATCTTATTTGTGCCCTAGACTTTTCAGATAATGGCCATCTGGTCTCAAACCTGTCATGCAGGTTCTTCGGAATCAGCATTGTTGAGGTCTTTGTGGGTGATTGTGATGAGATGGGGGACACATGTCGCCAGAATCAGACTTTGAGTCCATGAGAACATAGAATGGAAACCTCAATTTCTCAGAATATTTTTCATGTCGTATATGAAGAACCACTTCATAACATGAAAGTACAATACACATCAGCAATGTAATACAAGTTGATGATGAAAGATGAACAGAGGGAGAGTAAGAGGCTAAATGTTTTGTTGAACCATGGTGTTGCAATGACCGTTAAATAACTGTACATCAAGATATAAGCCAAAGCATTTTGAACTGAACTTGAGTTGATTTGCATTTGATTAACTTAGTTGCATGCCGTCTCAGGTACCGGTGGAGGTACCGTTCCTCATGCTCTCCTCCCAGTACCTCCGCTCGGTAGGAGTGTTGGAATGTAACGTACTTGTAGCTCAGTGCACGAAGGAATTGTAAAGGTCAATAAGGTATGCATGGATTTCTATCAACTTTGGAGAGCAAGCTGTCCCTCCTGCACGAAAGACTATGTCGACGATGTCAATTTCATTTTATTTTATTAATTTTACATGTGGCTACTCCCGCAGTGTTGGCGTATGCAACAGGTAAAATTACAGACTGCGAAGGAGTTGCTCGAACACCTCACAAAGTAATGGAAAAGTAGATTTACACATCGATCGGAGGTGACTGGCTCGAGTTCAAGGGGGAAACAAAATGTCCCTCCCGCATTATCTGTCTATCGACCCGTTGGGAGCTGCGGATTTTTGAATTTATTCGTATCCTCCGCACACGCAAAGGGGCGTAGTCGATGGTCTCATCACTGATTTGTTCAGTAAAGCGGGTAAAACTTCCAAAGTCATGGGGCTTGAAGAATGTAAAGTACTACATATTGTCTATATATCCTCCGTCGATGCGATGACGGTAATTAATAGGCTTCGATAATTGATGCCTTAATTCTTCGGGTCCGGGGACTTTGCAAGTTTCTCAAGTGAATCTGAGTCCTTAAGCTTAAGGACGAGCGAGAGGCCACGCATCCCCTCATTGGCAATAAGCCTCTTGTCAGTGGCCTTTTGCTGGTTAAAAATAAAGGAACTCGGCACGGCACGGTTGAAGGAAGCAGCACCGTTTGCGGCCGAAACTGATTTCAATTATTACACGTGACCATAAATCGCTCTTTCCAAGCTTCCATCATCTATAAAGTAAAGCTGGCGCCGTTATAGCCTTCACACGACTATCATTTAAACCTTTAATTCTACTACTTCATCATGCTTCGAGTCCCTGCACGTAGCTGCATTCGGGCCTTTGCTACAGAAAGCGTGCCGACAACGTCAAACAATCTTCCCCCGCCTTCCCCGCCGCTACGTCGTCGTCGACAAACGAGGCTTCATCCCGCTCCCCGCCCATACGAACCATCGTCTCCGCTCTCCAGACCGCAACTACCACCAAGCTTCGGCAAGAACCAGCTTCTTCCTGTCAGCAACTCTACCCGTGCCCTTTTAGAGAGCGTCGTTGCCGAATTTGAAGCTCCCATCCGCTATGCATTCGCCTATGGCAGCGGTGTATTCGAACAAGATGGATACGAGACAGCTGCAGAACCTGGCAAAGGTGGACCAGTTCTCGATTTCATGTTCGCCGTCACCCATCCAAGCCATTTCCACTCCATCAATATGAATCAGTTCCCGTCGCATTACCCACTCAGCGCAAGGATGCTCGGTAGTGACTATGTTTCGACCCTGCAATCTACTGGCGGTGCAGGAGTGTGGTTCAACGCCTATGTGCCCATGCCGAATCAGGGGGTAACGATCAAATACGGTGTGACCACAGTTGACAACCTTTGCGATGACCTGCTCAACTGGCGCACCCTTTATCTCGCGGGTCGTATGCACAAACCTCTCCGGATAATCAAGGATGATGCGCGAGTACAGTTGACACAACAAGTCAACCTCGTCAGTGCCTTACGATCAGCCCTCCTCCTTCTTCCCGAAGAATTCTCAGAACGAGAACTGTTTGAAAAGATAGCTGGAATCAGCTACTCTGGGGATCCAAGGATGGTATTACCGGCTGAGAACAGAGGGAAGGTGGGAAACATCGTTCGGAAACAGGAGGCACAGTTCAAAGAACTGTATGGAAGGCTTGTGGGTGGGTTGCCTGGGGTGGACTGGGCAAGCGAGGCCGGGAGACTGAAACAAGACCTTTCACCACTGGCTAGGGAGAAGCATCTCCGTAAGCTACCGAGGGTCTTGCTGGAGGCCTTAAAGACCCGGCATATGACTCAGAATGAGGAGGAGGAGCGCTTTTGGATTCGCCTGGCTGCGGATAAGAGGTTGGATACCTTATTAGAGGGTGGTACGTCTCGTTCTATTTACTGTATTCACCCTCATCAAGTGTCCTCACAGAGATGAAACGTATCGTCCGTCTGCCTGCAACGATTCAGAGCGCCAAAGGTCTCGTTAGCGCCGGTATAGGGAAGAGTGTCCGGTATAGCCTAGCGAAGGTTGGCAAGTGGTGGCGAGGCTAGCATACAGACTATTCACACAGAATATAGTGCACTACCCCTACTCGGTCATTACAATACGTACGGAAGGCTAGTAAGAATTAATAAAAAGTAGAAGTGTAATTAGCAAATTTGCATGCGGGATTTCAGTACACCTTTTTCTAATGTGGTTGTTCGTCGGCCTTGGTTCGGAATCGAATCCATCTATGAGCAAAAGAAAAAATTTAAGAGTAGATCCAAGAGGTAAATATATTCCTACATAGATCCTAACGATAGACAATAGTTTACAGAGCCGGCCGACGTACAAGATCCTAATATAATAGCAACCGTATACAAGCAAGAAAAAATTACACTGCCATCATAAAAGTAGCGTAGGGGGTACGTTCTATTCCCTGGTAGAAGCCGCAACACATGTCCTAGTTCATGGCCATCTCAACAAAATCATTCCAAGTCGTGTGCAACGTATTGGCCTCTGGAGATCTCGAGCTTGATCTACGTTGCGCTGGCCGAGGATTGGACTCCAACATGGGCACCGATCCGTATCCGTCGATTCCGTTCTCCATACCATAGTCGTACACAGGGAAGTATTGCGGGAAACCATTCAGGGTTTGTGAATGTCCATTACTTATACTACTATTCTGGCGATGCGTAGCGTGAGAGAGAGGCGATGTCTGCTGTTGTTGGTGATGATTTTGTAGCATGGACTGTGATTGGGAGAGGAATGATGGATCCGACTGGAAGGTGGACGTCGAAGGGAGTGTTGACATGCCATACATTGACACAGGGGATATGTCCGTGTCAGAAAATGAAGTATGGGACGACGTTGATGACATAGGTTCCGGCTGGTGATTAGTTCCGAAGGATCCCAGATACGCTAACATATTAGAGTCCATATCAGCGGTGGGAGCTAGTGGGAGAGGCACAACAGGAGCATGTGAATTTGGAGAACGGTCGAGGAGAGCTGGGGAAGAGGGTTCCTTCTTTACAAGACGCGACTTTCCGCCCAGCATCGCTAACTCGTCGTCTTCGTCGACTGGTGACTGAGGATCTTGGACAGAATAACGGCCGATGGGAGAACCTTTTCCTTTTCGGAAGTCATCAAGACTCATATGGGCCTTTTCTTGCAAACGAAGCATAATCGCCTACGAGTGAAAGATGTCAATCAACCGTAAACCTCCATTTATAAAAAGACGTTACCAAAACTTTCCCCGCCCGGAAACCTCGAGCAGCCTTGGAAAACAGCTCACAAGCCGAATCGAGCTGTACGAGTGCAGATGGCGCCAGACTCATGGATGGGCAACGAGTAACAATGGATCCCAAAACAATCTGAATTACGGATGAATGAGCTTGATCGGGATATGATGGTAAGAGATAACACACCGCGCAAGAAAACATGTGACCCCACAGGAACCAAATTCTTTCGCTGGGTTCTTGGAGTTGCGTATGGAGATTGCGCATAAGGGCCACCAAAGACCCGGCGCTACGATATGCGGCAATAACTGATGTTCCGTACGGACTGCCAAGCGGGTCCTTGGGATGGTCACTAATGGCTCGAGCAAAGAAGCTGCGATGAAGGTACAATAAATCTAGTAATCCATCAGAAACTGACACGCGAGTGGGGCAAGAATACTTACTCATTTCTCTGATTGCGAGGACGACGTGGCGCTGTAGCGTCAGCATGATCGTCTGAGGGAATCCTCCTGGTCGGGGCTCAGAGCTGCCAAAGCCGGCTACCTGAAGAACTG